AAGCAAGGTAAACTGCTGTACCTGCCTGGCAAGCACCAGGTCGTGAGTTACATGCCTGGTACCAAAAAAAAAAAAAGAAAGGTGGAGGGCCAAGGATTTAGCTCAGTGGTTCCACCACCTGCCTCAAAAGCACAAGAACCCGAGTTCGATTCCAGGTACAAAAAAAAAAAGGTGGGGCTAGGGATGTAGCTTGGTGGTGCCCCACCAGCCTGACAAGTACAAAGTTCTAAGTTCAAACCTGGGGGGATAGGACACTACGCATAGCAGCGTATGCCTGTAATCCAAGCACTCTGGAAGGCTGAGACAGGAAGATCACAAATTCAAGCCTAACCTGAGCAGCTTGCCAATTTAGCCAGGCCCTGTTGCAAAACTTTTACAAATCTTAAAAAGGTCTGGGGAATGTAGCGGAGTGTAAAGGCTGTATGTTTTATTCCTAGTACTGTCAAGGAAGGTGAAATGAAGGCTTTTTCAGATAAACAAAAGCTAAAAGAACTCACTGCCAGTAGCACTAAGAAATGTCAAAATAAAATTAATTTTTTTTAAAAAAGAAATGTCAAAAGAAATAGGTATGGGTGGCTCACTCCTGTAACTCAGCATGAGGTGAAGCTAAGGCAGAAGATTCCAAGTTTGAGCCTAGCCTGGGAAATATAGTGAAACCTTGTCTCAAAACAAGAAATACAAAAAAAGAAAAAGGGTAGGGATATAGCTCAGTGCAATCTCCAGTACCACAGAGAAAATTTTTTTTAAAAATTGTCAAAGAAACCTCAGGTAGGAAATTTGGATCTAAATTTAAAAAGTGAAAAGCACTAGCAATGGCAAATATGAGAACAAAAATATATACATGAGTAGGTAACAACAATACATACATGCACAAGCAGGGGGAAAATTTCATAGAAAAACAGGGTCCAAATTTTCTTAGAGCAGCTCTCTTAATTTGTATGCCCTTGGTGAAGCCTAATCCTTATTTTATTTTATTTTTTGCAGTGCTGGGGATCAAATCCAAAGGCCTGATGCATGCTAGGGAAGTAGTCTAACAGTGGGCTAAACCTCCAGTTCTCAGTCTAGGTTTAAAGGCAAAGGCTAACAGCCAGTGATTCACTTTAGTCTGACTCAAAGGGACATGGAAACCAAAGTAACAGAAACATGTGGTCTCTTACCACCTGCTCCTTCTAAAATGCCCCGGACTACTGCTTGAACACCACTGGGTCTCATTAACCTTTCAGAGAGCAGTTGCCCACATAGACGGCGAAGCCAAGCTGGGGTCTGACACCTAAGCTGTGTCTTCACATCTGTGCAAGACTGATGAGAGAAAGAGAAAGTATGAATTACGAATGTCATTGAAACAGATATGATTTGTAGACATTATTTTTTAAAAAGTACTGAGTCTTACTGACAACACTGTATTCTACAGACTTTAGGAGAGCAAACTTTGGGGCCAGGATGTATCTCAGTGATCTGGTACGTGCACAGCATGTGGGAGGACCTGGGTTCAATCCCAGGACCAAAAAAAGAAAAACAACATTTTTTCCTTAAAAAACCAACTCTTTTTACAAAACCTTCAGCATTGCTTTTAAGGAAGTAGAAATACAGCGAAATATCAATGAAATATCAAATCCAAAAATAGACAAACACATCATGAGTATAATGTCCTGGGAAACACAAAGTTAAGGTGACTAATCTCTGAATGCAGGGCTTCCAATCAAATCTAGCTTCCAGAAAGATTTTTATGACCTATTGTTTTGCTACTAAAAGAGCAGTTCAGCTGGGGATTTAGCTCAGTGGTTCCTCCGGCTGCCTTGCAAGTGCAAGGTCCCGAGTGTGATCCTCAGTATCCCAAAAAAATAAAAATTAAAAAAATAAAAGAGCATTTCACAACTATGAAGAGCATGCCAGTCTTTGAGTCCATTTTCTTGGATATTCTGATTTCTACAACACTTTAGTTTCAAGAAAGAGCTGAATTTCTTCAAGGGCTCCTTTTTGAGAGATCTTTGGAGTCAGAACAAACAAAGCAGATTTAGCATTTTTATTCTGTGCTAGAATGTTAATTGTGTTGTTAACCACTGTACTTTTCTATATAAGTATCAAAATTAGTAGCAGAAATATTTAATCCTTCATAGTCTGTCTTCTTTCTTTTCAAGGAGGATTAATAATTATCATTTATTGCCGGGCATGGTGGCGCACACCTGTAATCCCAGCACTCAGGAGGCTTGAAGCAGGAGGACAGCTGTGAGTTCGAGACCAGCCTGAGCTACATAGTGAGTTCCAGGTCAGTCTCAACTACAAAGTGAGACCCTGTCTCAAAAAACAAACAAACAAACAAAGATTATCATTTATTAAAAGAGTGAGGAGCTGAGGATTTAGCTCAGTGGTGCCGCCACCTGCCTGGCAAGCACAAGGTCCCAAGTTTGACCCCCAGTACCAAAAAAAAAAAAAAAAAGTATTAAGTACCAGGCACTATGATGAGTACCTTCCATGTGATCTCAAAAGGGACTTACAAGGAGAGCACTGTCATTATCCCCCATTTTAGGGGTGAGGACAGTGAGGAAAAGAAAGGTTTACAAAGTGATACACGTGCATTCTGGAATTGAATTCTGGTATACTTAATCCAAGTATGTTTGCTTTTCACCATGTTCTTATAATGCATTTTGTTTAATACGGCAAACTCTGGACTATTCACAGTAATGGAGTATGAGGCCAGAGATGCTTGATGGAAGCTACAGGAATGCCCTACGGATTAGAGGAAAACAACTCAACTAGAAGCTATCTTTACTGCCAGCTTCAGCTGGTCCTTGTTCCTCACATACAATTCCTTTCCTCTCTCACTCTTTACATATCTAGTTTCATAACAAAAACAGGTAATAAAAGCAAACAGACAATTCTATCTACACCATCAAAGAAAATAATTTCAGATAAATAATTATTTTTAAAGAAAAATAGGAACTATTTAATGCCAGTAGTATACTAGTATGTTTTTCAAACAAAGGAACTAAAAATAGAAACAATAGCTCTAATTTTAATTTCTTGACTTTAAATATTCCCTTCAAAGATAAATCATTCAAAAAACTTCCGCCAAAAGTATATATTGTCAAACAGCCAAATTTTAGTTTAAAAAAGGACCCAGTTTCAGAGCAAGTTGAAAAACTTTACAGAAAACTGCTATAAGCCTTTTTAAAAAGTGGTCAAGGGGCCAGGGATTTAGCTCATTGGTTCCACTGCCTGCCTTGCAAGTGCAAAGACCTGAGTTTGATCCCCCATACCAACAAAAAAAAAGTGATCAAAATATTCCTGGGAAAGTGGACATCAGTCCATGAAAGAAAAGGTCTTTTAAATTATCCTGGGGGTCAATGTCACTTGGCTTTATAAATACCACGTAATGATCTAAAGGATGAAGTAAAGCTCACCTAGATCATTAAATAGGGAGCTAAAGCTATCTAATCTTTCAGAAGACAACACACTACAACACTATCAGTTTATGTTTCAGCCATAAGAGCTCCCGGGCCCAAATACCTGGGGAGGTGCTCCCTGGAGGATAAGTAATTCCCGGACTGCTAATGGCTGATATACTTGATCCAGCATGTCTCTCAAGGCCTCCCTGGATAGGGTTCTTTCCTCTTCAGTTAAAACCTAAAGAAAACATGGATTTGACTTTAGCAAAATATAAACCAGGCAGCGAATAGAAGGCAATGTTGTTGCAATACCAGACAAAGATACTTGTGAGGGAAGAGAAAGGAAGGCTTCTATTCTCCCTTCATTTCTTTCCACAAGGAAGAGGCTGTGCTAGGAAAACACTCCTGGCTCTCTCCCCTTCCATCACTCACTCTACTTCTTGGCAGGAGGCATGACTTATCTTATTGGTAACTCGAAATACACTCATGTGCCAGTTTTGGTATGCACTGTTCCATTCGTTCCACTTTTCTCATGGGCTGTTCTGCTCTGTCTTACTGAGCAGGAACATATGTATCTCTTGCTATGGGGCAGAAGGTGCTGCAGTGCTTCTGGAACTAGTGAGTAGCGTGTCTAATTCTGGAGTGCAGTTAGATTTGTGTCTACCAATAAGATAGCTCCTCCAACTTCATCTTTACAAGCAGTAGAGGTGACATTTTTACTTTTCATCTCTTCTGTTAACTGGTCTTTTTATTCATTTGGAACATGGCTGGAAAAAGCAGTGCTATTTTGGGACACCCTTGAAAACTAAGAGTACTATCCCCTTTGGTGATTACCACCTACCCTGACCCAAACTGCCAGGGTCTTGTTCATCTCTTTTTAGCACAGAGACTCAAGTACTATCCAGAGCAGCAGTCATTTGTGGGATTTCATGCAGTACACTCATGGAGCCTCCTTTCTGACACCTCCCTGTCTTGCCTCCCTATTTGGTTCTGTGTATTTCCCTTTTCTTTTCTGTCAGTTGCCTAAAACACTGGAGTACTTCATAGCCTTAGTAACAGAAATAAGACCTTTGATCCAGATCCCCTTAGTTCACAGAAGTGCAGGCTATACATACTGTTAGAACTGTCAATATGTGTCACCCTTAAGTAAAAAGCACAGTGCTCTGCTCTCAGGCTGTTGGGGAGCTCAGAATTTTGTGCTACTGCTTAGATGATAGTAGCTTTTAGGCAAAGGCTTATGAACACATGCAGGAGAGAAAACAAACACAAAAGGAACAAGTACAAGGATAACACTGGCAGGTGACAGAGAAGTAAAGGCATGGTGAGATCTGGTTGTATGGTTAAAAATCACCCTGAGGTCTGGGGATTTAGCTCAGTGGCACCTGTACCTGCCTCACAAGCACAAGGTCCTGAGTTCAATCCCTGGTAACCCCCCCCAACAAAATCATCCTGAATATGAGCTACAGTGACCCTCAATACACTTACGTCTTAATTTTGTGTGTGCTGGGGATAGAACCAAGGCCTTTGTTCATGCTAGGCAAGCTCTCTACTACTAAGTCTTGTGCCCATTCTGATGCAGCTATACCTTAACAGCTATTTCTGGCTAGTTCCTAGGCTGATGTCAATGGTCCTGATGGGGGCAGTGGTGTCCTCTCATGGGGGACATAGTGGTCCCTGCTATATCATACTTCTGAGTGTTATCCCCTAGTGCGTGAATTACTTGAAGAAGAGGACTAACTTTTATGCTGCTGTACTCTCCACAGCAACTTCTATGGTCCAGAATCTCAGCCAGCACTCAACTGCTTAATGAGTGAGAGCACAGAACAGTCATGTGACCTTAATAGGGAATAATACCAGTGAACCCTGACTGAATTACCATTAGACCAGGAACTTTACATTCTCTCTCATTTGATCCTCCCAATAAATTAATGGAGCAGATATGAATGGTTTAATTTTAATATTATCAGTAATTACTTTCTGATAAGCACTAGGGGGGCAATGGCCTAGGTACTTTATGCGTATTTACCTGCCAAGGCAGGTATTATACACATTTGGAAATAGAGGTTCAGAGAAATATCCTCCAATTGCTATTCCACAAAATGACAAGGGACAGATGAAATGGACTCTTCAGGTAGGTAAAGGACCAGCATCCAACAAATGTGGCTTCCAACCCCACCAAAGAATTAATTTACCCACTGATATGCTTTGAGATTGAGCATAAATTCTAGATGGTTCATTTTTAAATTTTTTAAATTAATAGTTCTAGAATTTTCAATGAGCCCATTTTCAAAAAACTAAGAATTGTGTTTAGAATGACCAACAAAAATACATACACACAGCCTCTCTCTCACTCAATCTTTCAACGTATATTTACCTCTTCTGCAGGTATTGCTGGCTTTCTTTTGGTTGGGCAGAATCCCAGTTGGCACAGACCTGCTGCAATATCCCCAAAGTGGCGGCAGAAAATCAAGCTCCCCAGAGATGCGTGCTGAGCAACATTTAGGAGGACTGTGCAGCTGGTATAGAGCCTCCGGGCTGCATGGGGGGCAGAATCCAGACTCACCACATCTTGAACAACAGCACCAAACTCAGTCCTGTATTTCAGAGGGACTCCAACACCAGCCATGAGATAGGGACAGACACCCAAGGTGACCACAAATTGCAAAGTGGACTGGACAGTCTTCTGCTGTGAGATACTAAGTACATCAGGGCTCAGGGCAGGAGCAACTTCTGGAGTCTTAGGGTTGGGTTTACCTGGATTGAAATCAGCTGTGAGGCGGATCATGGTTTCCTTCAAGCACAACAGCAACAACAAAGCTTGAGAAGTAAAACTCCAAGTGATATCCACAGAGTTTTGTGGCCACTCTGCCTGATTAACAATTTCATCCTGTAGGAGTTTCAGTTTCTTCCACTGAGGATCCCTCAGAATCTTGTCCTCCAAGGCAGAAAGGTTAGATTTCAAAGTAGCCAGTAAGACATCATGTTTTGTGGTCTGTAAGGAACTTGAACTTGACCCTTTTGGTTAAAAAAAAAAAAAAAGGCTTATATACAAGGCAAACAAACTGATTTTCTCTGTGTAGAACTGCCTTGACCTCTCGAGCAAGGGGACTGAGGGTAAGGGGAGAAAGAACAGCTGGAGAAAGGGATTTTTAGAGACATGAAACTATTTTTCTTAAACAATTCTGCACAACACTGTAACAATGGAAATTTAATCCAAATTCATACAATTATATAGCTCCAAGAGTGAATCAATTGTAACAAATGTACCAAATTAATGGAAGATGTTAATAATAGGGGAAACTGGAGTTGACATGGAAAAGGAACTATGGGAACTCTCAGTACTTCCTTTTTTTTTTGTACCAGAAATTGAACTCAGGGCCTTGGACTTGCCAGGCAGATACTGCGCTACTGAGCTACATCCCTAGCCTCCTACTTATTTTTTCTACATACATAAAGACACTGTACCTGGGGATTTAGCTCAGTGGTGCCCCCACCTGCCTTGCAAGTGCAAGGACCAGAGATCAAGCCCTGTAAAATCAAGACACTGTAAAAAATAAAACATATTAGGGTGGAGTGTGGTGGCACATGCCTGTAATCTCAGCACTAGGGTGGCTGAGGAAGGAGGATCACCACAAGTTCAAGGTCATCTTGGGTGACATAGTGAGTTCAAGGCCAGCCTGGACTACATAGTGAGACCCTGTCTCAAACAAAAACAAAAACAAAACAAAAACTCTATAAATAAATGGATAATAAAAAACATTAATAATTTTTAAAAGCCTTAAGGGGCTGGGAATATAGTTTATTGGTACAGGGCTTCCTTATCATGCGCACGGCCCTGGGTTCAATCCCCAGCACCACAAAAATAATAATAACCCTTAACAAAGTATTAGTAAACCAAATCCAGCAATATATTAAAAGAATATTTCATTACTAAGTGGTGTTTATCCCAGGTAGGCATAGTTGCTTTAACATTTAAAACTCTATCAATATGATTTACCCTATTAAGAGTTAAAAGGAGAAAAATCTATGTGATCTTTTCAATGAATGCAGAAAAAGCAAAACTCAGAACCCAGTCATAATAATTCAAAACAAACTGAGAACAGGGAACTTCCTCAACCTAAAGAAGAGCATCTATGAAAAACTTACAATAAATAAGATATTTAATAGTGCAAAAAGAGCTCACAAAAATAACCATTCCACATAGTACTGGAAGTCTTTGCCATCACAGTTAGGTAAGCAGAATTAAAAGGCATTGAGAGCAGCCGTGTAAGAGAACTCAAGCATCACTTTAAAGTGGCTCCTACAGGCCAAAAACTGGACAGGAACAATGAGTGAAGTAACTGAAACATCAAGTATACAAAAATCTAAGACTCATTATACAACAAAAAGGTAACTTCCTTGGGTTACCTCCGGAGACTGCTCAAACACTTACGTAATTCCAAAAACCAATAAAGAAACATTCTCACCCTGTTAGTATACAGGTACATACGCATTCAGGTACAAACAGGTACAAAGACCTCAAAGTTGTATTTATTTTGTTTTGGGGATTTTGGGGACTGAATCCAGGGAGAATTGAGTTATATTCCCAGTTCCTTTTTCTTTTCTTTTTTTTGAGACAGGGTCTTGTTAAATCACTAAATTCCCAGGGGCAGGCTTGAACTTGCAAACTTCCTGCCTCATCCTTCCAGAGTGCTGGGTTTACAGGCATGTACCACACTCCTGGGTGGTTTTTGTTTCTGTGTTTTTGTTTGAGACGGGTCTCACTGTGTAGTTCAGGCTGGCCTTGAACTTGTAGCAATATGCTTGCCTCAGCCTTTACCACTCCCAGATAACATTTTTTTCTTAATTGTATTTTTTAATTGCCTATAGTAAATGAACACCATTTCTGTACTAAAAAGTTACTTGATGATTATAAACAATATTTTATTGGGCCGGGGATTTAGCTCAGCGGTTTGGTGGCCTGCCTTGCAAGCGCAAGGACCCGAGTTCAATCCCTGGTACTAAAAAAACAAAACAAAACAAACCCCCCCCCCAAAAAAACAACAATATTTTATCATACTATTTTCATAAAAAGAAAAAATAAGGGCTAGACATATAGCACCATGGTAGGGTGCTACTTAGCATTCCAGATGCCCCAAGTTTGATCCTCATCACTGCAAGAAAAAAAAAAAAAAAGCCAGGTGTGGTGGTCCATGCCTATAACCCTAGCACACAGGAGTCTTGAGATAGGGGAATTACAAGTTCAAAACCACCCTGGCTACATAGTGAGTTCAAGGTCAGTCTAGACTACATAGTGAGACCATGTGCGCTTCACCAAAAAGGAAAATTAATATTTCCTAGAACTTTATTAGGGATAACTTCTAGATATTGAGATGAAGGTACTTGACAATTTTCTTTTTTTATATTTATTTATTTAATTTATTTTTTTTTTGTTTTTTTGAGACAGGGTCTCACTATGTAGTTGAGACTGCCCTGGAACTCACTATGTAGCTCAGGCTGGTCTTGAACTCACAGTGATCCTCCCGCCTCAGCCTCCTGAGTGCTGGGATTACAGGCATGTGCCACCACGCCTGGCCTTTTTTAAATTTTTAAACCTTTACTACAGTGAATACTAAAATGCTTCTATAAAATGAAAAAGTATTGGGATGGGGATTTAGCTCAGTGGTGCTGTGCCTGTCTTGCAAGCATAAGGTCCTGAGTTTGATCCCCAGTACTAAAGATAAAAGAAAAAGTATTAACTTTTTTTTTTTTTAGACAGGGTCTATGTAGTTCAGACTGGCCTGAACTATGTAACCCAGACTCATCTCAAACTCACAGCAATCTCCTGCCTCAGCCTAAGTGCTGGGATTTACAGGCATGAGCCATCACATCTGGCCAATTTTTTTTTTTTTTTTTTTTTT